GCATCGCCTCCCTCCGCCTCGGAGCCCGGCCAGGAACTCCCACCGCTCCCCTTCCCTTCCCCTCGGGGGTGACAGAGGCGGCGCGGAGCCCCCTCCTCGCGCGGCCTTCGGAACGGCTCTCGCCTCAGGCCGAGAGCGAGTGAGGAACAGGCACGGGAGGGAGGGGGGGCGGAGGGAGACGAAAGGAGTGACAGCGCCACAGCCAATCGGAAGGAGGACGTAGCCTTGTTAACTTGAGCCATTTTTTCAATGAATTTACTCCGTGCAGGCACGGAGTAAATTCATTGAAAAAAAAGGGGGGGGAGGCTGCAAGGCTGGCGGCGGCTCCACGGGCCATCAGTCGAGGTCTGGGGGGCCGGATTTGGCCCGCGGGCCTTGCTTTTGACACCTGTGGTATATACTGTATAAAGTACACTTTGCATAAAAGATTCTTACTCATTTGCTGCCACTAGGTATGCTGGCAAAATAAACTCAAATTAGAATTTAAATAAAACCAAAAGCTAAGCAAGTTTATGTTGTTACTGGGGCAGATTTAAAATTGTGAGTTAAGCTTTTGGAGACCGGAGCGTCTTTCTGGCTAAATGTTTAAACGGGAAGAAAAGAGGCTGAACATCATGGAGTGCAGAAACCTAATGACAGTTAACAATATACAGTACAGTATTAGTTTTGCAGGGAGCCAGAACCGGGGGGACCCATCAGTCCCAGTTAACATGGCTGGCGTGCAGAGAGAATGGTCACAAAGATCTAACAAAATCTTGTTTCTCCACCTTTTCATATTTGAGATAGTTTAGAGCAGGCTGGAAATTCACAGAAAAATGTACAGTATTGACATGAGTTGGATGAAAAATGTGCAGCATTCAACTGTACTGTTGGCTGCCCTGGACCCCACATTGGGAAGAAAAGCATCGTATACATTAAAATAAATACATATATTTAAATTGAGTGTTGCCATAATGCAAAACAATACAGTGGTTCCAACAAAAAATTGCTATCCTTATTGATATAGTTGGCACCCATATACTTCTAAATCAGTCTGGAGTCCAGTGAAATCTAATGCTATGAAATAATTGTTCCATTGTTAATATTATCTACAGGCTCAGCCCCATAAACTTGTGGGAATTCTATCGATTCTATCAAGCCTGGGACTAGCAATTGCATTTAAACAATTGCTGGCGAAACGGCAATATTTCTCCAGTCGCATTGCTTCCTCAGAAAGTCGTCCAGCAGAGCTGTTTCGGGTGGTCCGGGATCTTCTTCAACCGGGAAATCCGGTGGAGGTCCCGGACTGCTCATCAGCTTGCTGTGATGAGTTTGCTA